TTTTCTATGCCAAATGGGCTCCGTTAAATTTAAAGAAACATACAGGTTGAGAATTTAACAAAATGGAAAAACATATAGTATGTTTATTATTAACCAGAATAAAGCTGAGATACTCATAATTAAAGAGTAATGAAAACTAGTGGCTGTTGTGTCCATTTTAACTCATAGATACTTCTTGTGTTGCTTAAGAGAACTGTGTTGCATATGATTTATATAGCTATGACCTTTCAGAAGTCCACGGTCAGGTTTACTTTCTAGGAACCTCTGGGGGAACTTACATTACCAACCATTTTAGATAGTAGCCAAAATTGTAACCATTTCATCACCCAGGAGAAAGGATGATAGAACTGTCTTGTACTTTAAAAACCACTCACATGCATAATAGGCTAAAAAGTATGTTTTGGTAAAATTTTAAGCATGTTAAAATATATGTATTCTTTTAAAAATGTACAAGGAGAGATAATATACTTTTATATTTTTTCTAGGGACAATGGAAGTGAAAATATTTGAAAGTCTACTCTCTTTCATATAGTCTCATTGTATAGAGAAAGTAACGAAGGTTTGCTGGGATGTTAACTATATATCTTATGGTAAAGACAATGTTTGAAGTCATACTTTTTGCTCTGGTCCTAGATTTCTTGTTCATTTAAGAGACAGCCTAAGGTAGTGATTAGGTCTACTGAGTTTAGAGCCACATTAAAAAACAAAAACATAAACTTTTCTCCAACACATAATGGCTGTGTGATCTTGGAGAGTTGGCATAACCTTTCTGTGCCTCTCTGATATTATTTGGGGATAATCATGGCAAATACTTTAGAGAATTTGGGATAGGTGATATATGCATAGTACTTAGAATCAGACCTAGCACATGAAAACTGCTCCATATGTGTGAGCTATTTTTATTCAGGGCTTTGGGATGTTGAAGCAAATGTGCTACAGAGAAATCATTATCACATCTGCCAGCACTTTCCACAATGGAGGCACAGATTTCCGAGCTCCTGACTCAGATGTTGAATTTACATCTGGACATCAAGCCATTTTAACAGTCAGCATTAGAGAGACTGAGTTGCACAGAGGCAGCGCTGAGGGAAAAAAACTTACTAATAAGATAATATGTGCTGCCTTCAGCAGCTTTGCCTGCTATTGCTGATGAAGGAGAGACTGTAAAATGTGAGACACCGGGGCATTCAGAGGAAAGTCGGTGTGGTGCTCACACCTTATTGTTTGCTTGATGGTTAGAGTACAACACTAGGTCAAAAACAAGGCCAGATAGCAACTTCCTAACTTCAAAATGTCCTTTCAAAAGGACAGGCTCCTTTGATATCCTTCTGGTCTCCCACTTCCTCACCGCACTCCATGGCCCTGGCTCAGAATCCCCCAGACACAGGCAAAGTCTGGGAATCACGTGACTTTAATTTTCTTGCTCCTTTCCTCCTCTCACCATTTGCCACGTGCTTACTATCGTTTAAGTCATTCAATTGAGGGCCTTCGTATGCCTTCAATATTGGGCTGGGCAACCGGAACACAACATTT